CTTCCCGCTGGCTACAGCTTCTTGCGTCTGGTATACACTCCGTTCACCGTCTTGCTGGTCCGTGCACGAGCTCCCAGTCTCTCTCTCAACTCGCATGGGCCGCTTCTATGCGGTCTCCTCACACCAATTACTGAAATCACAGACAGGTGTTCGTTTGAACTTGACCCACTTACTCACCGCCTGGCTCCGCCCCCGCTCTCCCGCCACAGACTTCGCTGAACCACGCACCCCTCACCACAACGTAGCTTTCATTTCATAAAATACATTATATCCATTTTATTGACTCTCGCTCATATACATATCGCTCATATACAAGTCCCTTTAATGTACGATCCAAAGCGACAAGCTTTAAAGGGATAGTTCACTTTGGAATTAATTTTTGATATGTTTTAGCTTACCTCAAGGGCATCCAAGATGTAGGTGTCTTTGTTTCCACAGTATTTTTAAATTTGACATTTTTCAGTCAAACTGTTGTTGTCTATCAGTCATACACTGGAGGCTAAGCGGGTCCACCAAAAAGCATGCACAGAGAAGTCAAAATTAAACACGATTTAATGACTCGTAAATGTAAGTACACATTGATGGCCTAAGACACGAAACGAGCGTTTTTTGTGATAAAACGAACAGTATTTATATCGTTTTTACCTCGTGTTATCCAAGTGATCTGAATCAGCTGTGCAATGTCCAACTGAACCGAACTGAATCAGTTCAATGTTATGCCGGAAGTGATCGCTTGCATGTGACGTCACTCAATATTTAAACGGAGATTTTGGAAGTTTAACCTTTTACTAAACATATTTAGACATACCGAAATCGTCTTCCATTTTGGTTTCCCGTATATCTAAATATGTTTAGTGAAAGGTAAAACTTCCGAAATCTCTGTATAATCTCTGTATTATGATGTAGGCGCGCAAGCGATCACTTCCAGCGCATGCGCAGACAGAAGCACCCATGCTGTCAGATCATTTTGTCATGACTATGATTACAAGAGGTAAAACGATATAAATACTGTTCGTTTTCTCACACAAACCGCTCGTTTCGTGTCTTAGGCCATCAATGTGTACTTACATGTACGAGTCATTAAATCATGATTAATTTTGACTTCTCTGTGCATGCTCTTTGAGGTGAACCGATTAAGGACCCCCCTCACCTCCGATGTATGACTGACAGACAACAACGGTTTGACCAAAAAAATTCAAAATTGAAAATGCTGTGGAAACAAAGACACCTACATATTGGATCCCCTTGAGGTAAGCTAAAACATATCAAAAATTAATTTCAAAGTGAACTATCCCTTTAAAATGATAAAAAAAATACTTTAACTAGTAACGTTAGGCTATCTTTGTAAAACAGGAAGGTTATCTTCAATGCCAGAACAATTGCCTTTCCTGGCAGTCTCTAAGATGATTTCTGTGTGAGAATTGATAAAGATCGCATGCTGGACAAACAGATTATTAGATCACAAATTAATTCCATAGGGGCTATCCTTAGAGTTGATATATGATAGACATAATTGATATAATAATTGATATAGTAATATTTAATTATAATCTTTTTTTAATTAAGTATTGATATACAATTGAGCTAATTTTAAAGTTCTGTAAAATATAGACTACATATGCAATTAATTATAATCCTTTGTGGTTAATTGTCTAGGTACATATATGAATGCATATACAGGGAATATATTATCAGTTTTTGAGAGATTTAATAATGTATGGTTATCTAGTTCAAACCTGTATCAATAATTATTAAGTGTTAATTATTAATTATTGAATACAAATTCCCCAAATTGACCAGAAAAACTCTACAGATCTATGAAAAATTCCAGTCAGGATTCAGACCGCATCATAGTACAGAAACTGCGCTAGTTAAAATTACAAATGATTTACTTTTAGCTTCTGACCAAGGCTGTATCTCAATACTAGTCCTACTTGATCTTAGCGCTGCGTTCGACACTATAGATCATAAAATACTCTTGGATCGACTACAAAACTACAGGGACAGGCATTAAGCTGGTTTAGATCGTACTTATCGGACCGTTCTCATTTTGTCTGTTTAAATGAGAAAAAATCAAAGATAACGTCAGTAGACTATGGAGTACCGCAAGGATCGGTTTTAGGCCCTCTGCTATTCTCAATATATATGCTGCCACTTGGTAATATTATAAGAAAACATGGAATTAATTTCCACTGCTACGCTGACGACACTCAATTATATATTTCATCACGACCAGATGAAAACACTAACTCATCTAAAATGACAGAGTGTCTCAAAGATATAAAATGCTGGATGACGCGTAATTTCCTGCTATTAAATTCAGATAAAACGGAGGTATTACTTATTGGTCCAAAAAACTACTCACAAAACCTCTCACAATACAACTTTAATATAGACGGATGTCCTGTTACATTATCCACTACAGTAAAAGACCTGGGTGTTATACTAGACCGCAACTTGTCTTTCAAAAATCATATTTCATATGTTACAAGAACAGCCTTTTTCCACCTTAGAAACATTGCTAAGCTGCGTAACATGCTATCTATTTCTGATGCAGAAAAATTAGTTCACGCATTCATGACCTCGAGACTAGATTACTGTAATGCTTTATTAGCCGGTTGTCCTGCATCCTCAATAAACAAGCTACAGTTAGTACAAAATGCAGCTGCTAGAGTTCTTACTAGGTCAAGAAAATATGATCATATAACACCGATTTTATCATCTCTACACTGGTTACCTATTAAGTTCCAAATCAACTACAAAATACTACTACTGACCTATAAAGCCCTAAATGGTTTAGCTCCTATGTACTTAACGGACCTTCTTTCGCCCTACAATCCACCGCGTTCCTTAAGATCACTAAATTCAAGGCTTCTGGTCATTCCTAGGATATCGAAGTCCACTAAAGGAGGGAGGGCATTCTCGCAATTAGCTCCAAAACTCTGGAATAGCCTTCCCGATACGGTCCGAGCCTCTGACTCGCTGACACAGTTCAAAACTAGATTAAAGACGCTTCTCTTTAGTCAAGCATTCACATAATGCTTACCTTCTAGTCCTCTGTTATGCCATACGGAACCGTTTGCCACTGAAACTGCTTAACGCACCAGTGGGGCTCGACAGCCTTTTAGACAAACGGGTTGGCGCGTATGGTTGGGTTGCGGAGAGTTTGGGTTGCGGAGAGTTTGTGAGATAGTGGTTTTCTAACACCGACTCCCGTATAATGGAAATCAGTATGAACATCAGCTATGCTAATTATTTCCCATCTGCCTTTCTGCTGTCCCGAGAAAAATGGCGTTCGTCAGGTCCAGTTTTGTGTCCAGCCTCTCACGAGGATTTCGGATGCCCCAACGCTTGTGATGAGAAGACCAACGCCTGTGAAGAGACGACTCAACACCTGCGATATGTTATGGCGCCGTTTTATACATAAACAATATTTATATTTAATATTTATATATAAATGAATGTAAGCCAGAGGAGAACTGGCCCCCGACTGAGCCTGGGTTCTCCCAAGGTTTTTTCTCCATCCAATCTGATGGAGTTTTGGTTCCTTGCCACTGTCGGCTTGCTTTTGGCTTGCTTAGTTGGGGTTATTTAATATTTAATATTTAACAATATTATTGATCTGTGTTGTACTACTTTCATGTTATCACTGTGAAGCTGCTTTGATACAATCTGTATTGTGAAAAGCGCTATATAAATAAATGTGACTTGACTTGACTTGACAGATTACAACGATCGACCTGAAGGACGCGTAATTTCATGTTTCTTTGCTCTGTGTCCAAAGGTACGGGCCCTGTTGCCTCATGTCTTCAAAAAAGTCGTGGAGGAGGTCATTGCTCCCATGTGCGAGCATGGTGTTCGTATCCTCAACTACCTCAATGACTGGCTTATCCTGGCCCAGTCTAGAGAGCAGTTGTACGAACACAGGGATATCACCTCAATCACCTCAACCACCTAGGGCTTTGGGTCAACTGGGAAAAAAATCAAACTCACCCCTGGGCTGAGGGTCTCTTTTCTCGGTATGGAGTTAGACTCAATCAACATCACTGCACGCCTCACAGACCATGTCCAATCAGTGTTGACATTCCATATCCCTTCCGGCCAGTCCGTATCTCCACATGTCACCTCCCTTCGGGCAGGATGTGGCTTCCACAGCGTCCCTCTCTCCTGGAAAGGCACGCTTTCCCAGTGTTATCCAAAAGTTCCACTGTGTGGGTTATAAAGGAACAGAAGTTCAAACTCCCTCTATGCAGGCCTTCCGCCCCAGTCAGTTGGGGGTCTGAGAGTCTTGCATAGGGTGCTGGATGTGGCAGCAACTGTGGCGTTTTCCATGGGATCCCAATTACGTCAAACGTTGACGTTACGTCGAGTGTGAGGAACTGAAAGGGTATGTCTCGGATACTATTGTAACCCTTGTTCCCCGAAGGAGGGAACGGGAATCTCAAGTCTGACAGAGTTTCTTGTGATATTCCCTGCTTTAAGTCTGACAATGATCAGTCTGCTCAGTGAAGTCAAAAACATCTTGTGTTTGGTACCATATACAAATAGCGTTTTCATGATCGAAGATTCCTGTGACTTCAGTAACAGACATTGGTCACATGAGAAGCTATGAGCCACCATAAGGAGGCAGATTTTAAGTCCCATTGAGATTAATGTAAATGTTAGAAACATCTTTGTGTTTGTGCTAAAATAATTGATAACAATTTGCCAAAGGGGTATGAAAAATACATTTAATTTAAAAAATATATATATTTTTTTTTGCTCAATAGATGCTACAAGGTGTGAGAAGAGAAAGGAACAGCAGAAGGCAAGAGGGGGAAAGAGAGTGGAGGGAGGTTGAAATATTTCAGATCGAGTTCTGTGTGAGTTCTGTAGGGGAAAGGTGTGTTTGGAGAACAGACAGAGGGGAGCTTTGTGTACCTCTCTCTGACAGGTCAGCTCTCTCTCTCTCTCTCACACACACACACACAGCCTTCCTTCTTTCATTCTGGGTGCGCAGAGCTCCTTTGCAAGCCGTATATGATGCTATCACTACTGTTCTGGGTTCTGCTTCTTTTTCTGAGTCAGGTAAGAGTCACCAATTACATTCTCGCTTCATAATCAGAATGTGACTATAACCAACTGTCTGGCCATGACCCGTAATGGCTGGCCTTAAATATACATTCTACTGTAATTTACAGCTTGTCTTTGAGATTCTGTAATGTTTGGGATGTTAACTGTATAGTACATGGATGCCATGAATTTGTAACATTAGCACTTAACGACCCGGTAAAAATACTTTTAAGTTCACTGGTGTGCTGGTGTTCGTGTCTTTAAAGTCTGTGCTGCTGTAGCCCTAAAGGTTTTAAAAGATGAATAAGTTGTCAAAGGGCTTATGACAGGTAAGGTTCAGAGAGATGGAAAGTCAGCTTCTATTTAAAACCGTATTCTCTTTATGAGATTCTGTATGGCCTGTGAAATGGCACTTAAAAGTGGAACTTCCCAAGAGATGGTTTATGAGATATTTATGAGTTTGCTCTGGCATGTAGGTTCCTATTGTTATTCTACTCTTTCACTGAATGAGCTCATCCTGTAAACTTGACAGATAGACTTCAGATTTTTGTTTTGACCTCTGGTGACCTTGGGAGCACGTGTGTGAAAGTAGAGATCAGTGGATGGGACTGCAGTGAACCCTACAGTACAGAAACATGACTGCTTTTCTCTTATGATATATGATAAAACACATCTCTCATATAACTTATAGAACTAAATTTAGAAATGTTTTTAAGGTATTTTAGGGCTCTTGTGGATTTCAGTTTTCATACATTTGTTCAAGTGATGTAATACTATATTAGTTTACACATGTTAAGCTATGTTGACTAAAATGAAATAATTTATATATATATATATATATATATATATACGGCTCATGGATTTGTACAATTCAGGAATGGAATGGTGGTCTAAATAGTGGTCTGGGGGATTTTTATTTTATTGCTTTAAAATTGCAATATTTGTCACTTTTACACATAAAATGTAAAAAAAAAAAAAAACAGCATTTTCACTTACCTTGCCTATCACTGGAAGAAATAATCCATCCTTCTGTCCTGTCCTTTTAAATGTCCGTATGTCACGAGTTAGCTTCAAGGATGATGAAGGTAGATAATAATAATAATTAAAGTTCAGTTTTAATAAACAAAGTAAACAAGATAGCAATGTAGCAACATGTATAACACACACACACACACACACACACACACGCAAACACACACAATACCGGACAATGAATGAAAAGTCAAGAGGAACCTAAATGCACAAGCTAATAGAATGCAAATACGTGTGATCTTTAATGAATGTCCATGGTAACAAATTGTGGCGGGAAAATAAAACAAAGGGAAACGTGACTGAAGAAAAACAAACTAAAAATCCATGAAAACGAAATCAAACACAAAGATTGATCTTGGCGGCACGTCATCATGTGTCCATCCTGGATAACCAAACATGTGCAAAGAGGCACGATTTGCTGAGGTGATGTGACAGCTAACAAACAGCAGATAAAAACAGCTAGTAGTGACGTCAGCGGCAATCCACCTGTCATAATCCACCATGCAGAACTTTATAGCTTAATATAACTTTAAGGCTTAATATATTGTATTCAGTGGAGCAGTCCCTAGAAAAATTTCGCCGCATGTGTGGGGTGGATGCTGGTAAACAACAACTCAACATTCAACATCGAACCTCACTTAGCCTACCACCACCCTCCAACTAACCCAGCAGATGGAGCAAACACCAGATGGAGCAAAAGCCTGATTCCCCTGCAGACACAGAGCCTGCACCTGCTGCGGAGAAAGAGCCAGCGAACCCTGCTGAGCCATGTTCCACCCCGGAGCCTGAGCCAAATATAATGCCTGACCAGGTGCGTGAGTGGGAAACAATGCCCATCCTCTAGGGAGTACTGGTGGTGATTGAGGGCATGGATGGTGTAAGGCAAACATGGACCCTGAGTTCTTAGTCACTTGTGGACTTAATAGACTGGTTTACAAAGGCTATACCCGAGAAATTCCTGATTTCATTGACTTTGACCAGTTGTAATGTCCCTTTATCTACAGCACCCCCTGTAGCTTCAGATTGCCCGCCCAACCTACCTCTCCCACCTCCTCAACCAAACCTGAATAGTTCATCAGCCCTTACTCCTCTGGTTCCTGTCTTCATCTCGGCTCTTCCACAGCTGTTTCCCTGCAGTGCTGCTAATTCACCTCGGGTCTTCCAGTTCCCAGCATCGCCTTGCCTTAATTATCCCCTGTCTCATCCTACAGCCACAGAGCCCTGGACTCCACCTCGGTCCTTCGACACATTGGCTCTGCCTTGCTCCAAACAGCTTCACCGTGGCCCATCATCCAACCAGCTCCAGCAGGCTCCCTCGTCCCTCCGGCGTCGCCTTGGTCAGATACCACCCTGGTTCTACATCTGGATTACTGTTTACCTCTGCCTTCCATCCCTTCGGCTTCATGGTTGTCCTCGGTCACACTTGCTCAACAGCGGTCTTCCAGATCCCAATCTCCACCTCGGCCACATGAGCCATCAGCTCTGCCTTGCCCCTCTGATCATTAGTGCCATTCAGTCTCCTTGTCTCCACGGCTCCTTCTGAGTCTCTATCAGGGCCTGCTTGCAGGAGATCATTTCCCAGGATACATCATCCAAATCTCCACCATGGCTTCTCCCTACTGTACGGTATGCTGACTGTGATATGGGTACCTACAGGGGTTGGACAATGAAACTGAAACACTGGCCAATGTTGGAGGTTTCACATCTATATGTCTGGCGGCCAATCTTCAGAGTGAAGCACGGGTGGATCAGTGATGGTTTGAGCTCCAATATCATGACAATCCTGATTGTATTTGATGGACACGACACTGCCGAGGACTACCAAGCCCTTCTGGAGGATCATGAGCACCTGATGCTCAAACCGTGTATCAGCATGATCATGCACCAACACACACAGCAAGACTTGTGACAGAAGGGTTTGATGAAGATGAAAGTGACGTTGAACATCTCCCATGGTCTGCACAGTCACCAGATCTGAATATTATTGAGGTGTTTTGGAGGAGCGAGTCCACCAGTATCATATAGTGACCTGGACACTGTTCTGGAAGAGGAACGGCTCATAATCCCTCTGGTCACTGTGAAGGACTTCTATCTGTCAATTGGTGCTGTATTTGGATGCAAAATGAGGCCCTCACCATTCTAACAAATTATTGTGTTGTAAAACCAGGTGTTTCAGTTTCATTGTCCAACCCCTGTATCTGGCTTCTCCTGCTCCAGACTTCCCCCTGGCTCCTCTCCCTTGTGGACTTCTTTTTTCGATTTGGTTTTATTTTGCTCCTCTTCTGTTCCTCGCCCTCCACCAGAACCGCCTTCCTCCCTCCTCTGTTGCACTGTCAACTGCACAATTATGTGCCTTCTCGGGAGGAGGTGATCTGTCACATGTATGGTCTTTGTATTTTTGGTTTTGTCATCCGTGTCTTGTTTAACCCAGTGTGCCATTTGGGTTAGTTAGTATTTATAGTCCTTGTTTCCTTAGTTCAAGTGTCCTCTCTAAATGTTGTTTGTGAAGTGTTCCAATCCCGTTTCTCTGTTTTGCATGATTTGGATTAAAGACTATTCTCTTTATTATTTAATCTTCATGAGTACTCAGAGGAGGTTCCAGACACATAATAATGCAAATGAATTACCAAGTGAAGATGACAGACAAGTATATTTTAAAAAAGACAGCATATCTTAGTTCTGTGAGCTAGAAATACACATTCTTAAACATGAAATGAAATGAATAACTAGGAATCTTACTAACATTAAAGGGATACTCGACTTTTTTTTTTTGGAAATAGGCTCATTTTACAACTCCCTCAGAGTTTAACAGTTGGTTTTTACCATTTTTGAATCCATTCAGCCGATTTTCTGATATTTAGAAGAATATCAGTAACCAGACAGTTTCTGGTCTCATTGACTCCCATAGTAGGAAAAAAAAAATACTATGGTAGTCAATGAGACCAGAAACTGTCTGGTTACTGATATTCTTCTAAATTTCAGAAAATCGGCTTAATGGATTCAAAAACGGTAAAACACAACTGTTTAACTCTGGAGTAGTTGTAAAATGAGCCTGTTTCCAAAAAAAAAAAGTGTAGTATCCCTTTAAATCATATTGATAAATTAATCATTAATAACATGAGACATTATTGTAATATTCAGCACAGAATATACTACCCATCTACTGTTATTTCGCTCTAGCAAGGCTCTTTCATGTAATCTACCTGAATAAATAAGTGTCAACACAGTAAATGCAGCTGGTTTGGTGATGTTTTTCTTCAATATGCAGCTACGATATAACAGTAGTGCAGTCAGTAGATCTGAAAAGGCTGCTTGTTGAGTTTTTACTCTTCCCGGCTATGCATTTGGATTTGCTGCTAACCTCACTTAAAGAGCTAGAGAATTACAGAACTACATTGCTTATATAGATGAATGAATACTGAAATGTTAGAAGCACTTTGATGCAGTTTGAAAAAATAAAATAAAAAACCATATGACAACAAAATCACAAGCCTCTTCTTTATCACACAATATAAACAAGAACAAGATCAAATCAAATTTTACAAATATTTACTGCATAGCATACTTAGAAATATATATATATATATATATATATATATATATATAGAGAATTTAGGCATTCCAGAGCTATTCGATGCAGTTTTCATGTCATTTATTGGTTATATGGTTTTAATATTATAAGAGTATTGGTGGGACCGTAAAAACAAGAGCTGGCCCTGCCAAGTGACAGGATTCTGACACCAGGCCATTGTTAAAATATGGATGGAAAAGCTCAGTGCACTCATTTTTTATTCATTTTGTCTCGCGTGTCCGTGCCTTTGAGTTCAGAAAAAGCCCGGTGAGTAATACCAGTCAAAAAATGTGGCAAGTAAGAATCAGTCAACAAACACGGTGAGTAATGTCTTGTCCTGTTATTGTCAACTGTGTCACATCATATGTTTAGTATAGCCTTCTCCGATGGCAAAATAGGATTTGTATGTGAT